ACCAATACCACCACACGCAAAACACCAATCCTTCTGTTGTAGCTGTTGAAGCTGACCCGAATGGGCTGAATAACCTCAGTGATAGCTCTGAATCAGAGGCGCACTGATAAGAGCTGATGGTGCACTGTAGGCTGGCTGCCCAGAATGAGGCACATAAGGACTACGACTCCCTGAAGTACTGTTAGATGCCTGATGTTCTGAATGAAATGTCCTCGGTGGATGGCCTCTACTAAAAGTACCCCTGCCTCCAGATGAGGCACCACTAAAACTACCGGAATGATGGGGGTCCCTATCTGACACCAGCCCCATCTCCTAAGCACGAACCATCTTGATACGTCTAGCAATATCTACGGTCATCTAGAAAGAAATATCTCTCGCTCTCCTTGGCCATATGTGGCATGATAGTCTAAGTGAGCCCATCAATAAATCTCCTCACTCTCTCCCTCTCAGTAGGAAGCAAGATAATGGCATGGCGAGCTAGGTCCACAAATCAAGTCTCGTACTGGGTAACAGTCATATTACCTTGTTAAAGACACTTAAACTGCCTGTGGTACTCCTTTCTTAGAGTGACGGGAATGAACTTCTCTTGAAATAGCAGTGAGAACTGATCCCAGGTAAGTGCAGGTGACCCAGTTGTTCTAGTCAACATATAGTCTCTCCACAACTCTTGGCGGAACCAGTCATCTGATATGCTAAAAAATTGACCCATTGGTCTCAAATATGCCCATGTTCAGCAACACCCTATGGCAGCGGTCTAGATAATCATGTGGGTCCTAAGAAGGTGCAACACTGAAGTGAATAGGGAAGAACTTGGTAAACTTATCCAACCCTCAACAGAGCCTCAGAAGACATGGCGGGTCTATCACCAGCATGTGCCGCAACAACCGGCTGAACCACCCCAACTGGCAGAGCTGCTGGAGTCTGATACTGGGGAGCCACCTACTCCGGAGTGTGATTAGCGGGAGTCTGTGCTCCTCCCCCAGTCCGAGAAACTGTTGGTACCACCGGGAATGTACCGGTCTAGGCCACACTCTCCATAAGGCCCACCAAACAGACTAGAGCATCCTGAAGCACTGAAGTGGCTATGAACCCCTCAGGCACTTGAGCTGGTTCGACGGGAACAGTCTGAGTTGGAACCTCCTCCAAAAAATCTATGTGAGGCTCCACTACGGGTTCTGCTACTCGAGCTCTAGGCTGAGCTCTACCTTGGCCTCGACATCTGGCGCGACCTCGGCCTCGACCTCTGTCCTTGGTAGTAGCTGCCACAGGGGGCTCCAGCTTCTGTCCGGCTATAGATGCAGTGTGTGTTCTCACCATGTGCGAGAGAACAAGGATAGAATGGTTCAATCATCAATGATCGAATAAAATCGTACAATAGAGAAAGAAAGAAGTGAAAATTTTCCTAAACTCCATAGCCTTTGGAAGATAAGTACATATGTCTCCGTACCGATCCTCCTGACTCTACTAAGCTTGCTCGTGACTCGTGAGACCTAGGCAACCTAGTGCTCTGATACCAACTTGTCACGACCTAGAATTCCCACCCTCGGGACCATGATGGCACATAATATTTTACTTGCTAGGCAAGCCAACGTTAGAATAGTATTTAGTTATTTTTAACAAATCAATTTAATTAATACAAATTAAACTGAATAAACCGAAATAGAACTGAAATAAAGTGAGAAAAACCATAGTAAAAGCAATATCTAGATACAATCCCAGAGCTGGTATCACAGGTGTACGAGCGACTAGAATAATACAGATAATGGTATAAATAAAAGTAAAACTATCTGAAATGAAATAAGTAGCTAGGATAAGATAGAAGGGGACTGCAAGGCTACGAACGCCGAGCAACTGTACCTCAAGTCTCCAATCCAGCAATCAATCCTAGCAATCTACTGACCGCCGCTAGGACCGACTCCAAAATTGGCACAAGAAGTGTAGAGTATAGTATGAGTACAACCGACCCCATGTACTCTGTAAGTGTCTAGCCTAACCTCGACGAAGTAGTGACAAGGCTAAGGCGAGTCACTTACAATAACATGTATATAATGTAATAATAATAACAGGAAAGGAATACAGGAAAGTAAGACATTTAACTTATGAAAATAAACCCAATCCTCGGAATCAGGAAAACCAGAAACACCAGTACTCAGAATCTCGTATGAAGGCATCGAAAGCTAACATAGTACAACAATGAATACAAAACACACAATCTGTTGCGGCACGCAACCCGATCCCACCGTACAAATACAATCCTCCCTTATTTCACATGTTGCGGCGCGCAACCTGATCCCACCGTACAAACATAATCCTCCTTCACCATATCAATATCAATAATAGCATGTAAAATCCGTTACGACGCATAACCCCGATCCCACCATATAATCAGAATCAATATCACAATCCTCCCTTATTTTTCCATATCAAAATCACATATAAAATATGTTGCGGCATGAAACCCGATCCCACCATATCAATATCAATCCTCCATTATTCCACCCGTTGGATCCATAAATAAAATCAATAAATGTGTTAAACTCATCAACTCAAATAACAAGAATCTCTACTATTAACGAATATGAAAGTAAAACCATAAAGGAATGTCGTACCAAATCAAAAAATACTACAATTAATACTAAGCATCAAGACAAGACAAATATATGACAGTTAAAGTAAACAAGTAAGATAATTATGGCAAGTAGCAATTAATCATGAAAGCATGGAAGAAACTAACATTTTAATACGAGAATAATAAATGCCAAGTAGCAAGTTAAGGCATAAGAGGCAATTAAAGCATATAACAATTAGGACATGGAATAAAATAATTAATGGAATATGGGAAAGCATGGAAATAATTACTTTGACGACGTATATACACTCGTCACCTCGCATATCCTCCGCTACACATGTAATTCACATAACACATAGCTCATGGGTTTCTATTCCCTCAAATCAAGGTTAGACCCAATACTTACCTCGCTCCGCAAGCAAATCAAAGCTCAACCGGGGCCTTTCCTCTAAACTCCACCACCAAACCAATCGAATCAATAACATCAAATAATACTAGGGAAATCAATTACAATACATAAAGTTAAGATCTTTGCACTTTTTCTAAAAAGCCAACAAAAGTCAACCCCGGGCTTGCTTGGTCAAATCCCAAGATTCAGACCAAAATCCATTTACCCATTCACCCACGAGCCCGAGTATGTAATTAGTTTCGAAATCCGACCTGAATTTGAGGTCTAAATCCCAAATTTATAAAACCCTCCAATTCTTCCCAAATCCCTAATTTCTACCATGAAAATCCTAGATTTGATGTTGAAAACTTATGAAATATAATAGGTAATTGAAAAGAAGTTGATTAAAGTCACTTACCAATGAATTTAGGAAGAAAATGTCTTGGAAAAATCGTCTCTAGGGAGTTTAGTGTTGAGAGTTTGAAAGAAATGAGCTAAATCTCGTTTTTTTCCTCTTTTACAAGATGCGGATGTCGCAATCGCGATATCTTGTTTGCAAATGCGAACATCGCAAATGCGCGAAAGAGGTCGCAAATGTGAACCCTTCTCAGAAAGTCAATCATCGCAAATGTGATGCGTTGGTCGCAAATGCGAACCCATACTACTCGCAAATGCGGACCATTCATTCGCATATGCGAAGGTAGCCCAGGACACACTAAGTCGCAAATGCGACTCTGCCTTCACAAAAGCGGTAGCTGCAAGGTCGCAAATGCGAACATTTACCTCGCAAATGCGAAACTCCCCCAGTCGAGCCCATACTCCCAAATGCGAAGCCTTGTTCGCAAATGCAAGATCTGCAGTAGAGCACTAGCAACAGTAAAGGCATCAGCTATTCTTCTAAGTCCAAAATCACTCTGTAACCTATCCGAAACTCAACCGAGCCCCTCGCGCTCTAAATCAAACATACACACAAGTGTAAAAATATCATACGAACTCGCTCACGCGATCAAAATACCAAAATAACACCTAGAACTACAATTCGGACACCAAAACGAATGAAATTTTCAATGAAGCTTAAGAACATGCAATTTCTCAACCGGACATTCGAATCACGTCAACTCAACTCCGTTTTGCATTAAATTTTGTAGAAAAGTCATAAATATTGTAATAAACTCATATCAAGTTCCGGAACTGAAATCCGAACCCGGTAGCAACAAGATCAACTTACGGTTAAACTTAAAAATATTTTAAACCTTTAAATTGCTAGTTTTCAACAAATTATATTAAATCAAGTTAGGGACTTTCAAATTCGATTCTGGGCATACGCCCAAGTCCCAAATCACGATACAGACCCACAGGGATCGTTAAAATACTGATCCGAGCCCGTTTACACAAAACATTGACCGTAGTCAACTCAAATGTGTTTTAAGGTACGATTTCACATTTTCATCAATTTTCTCATAAAACTCTTCCGGAAAAAGGACACAGACTGCGTACGCAAATCAAAAAAAGCTAAACGGAGCTATTCGGGATCTCGAAATACGGAAATGAAGGGTACACCTATAAATGACATATCGGGTCATCACATGCAGATTTTGACATTGGTACCAGCGGAGTCCCAAAAGGTACTTAGCAGCTACTAGTCAGTGATTCGAGGTAGAGCTATATTTCGTTCGCAGGCTCTCAAGTCATTTTCTTATTTCTGGTATTGTCTCAATTTATCCCGGACAGTGATGTATTTCTTTCAAACCTTGTATTTAGCTGGATCTAGACGCTCATGTATTTGTTACACCGGACCTTGGGGTGGTTTATGTTATGTTATTGATCACTTATCAGATATTAATTGCATTTCTTTATTTTGTATTATTTGTTGTGTTGGTGGCCTGGCATTCAGTGTTAGGCCCCATCACGATTCCGCGGTTGGAATTTTGAGTCGTAACAATTTCTTTGAAAACCAAGACGGTCTCTACTGTGTTTGACTTTATTTTTGTAATGAAAAAGTTGCATAATGAGTAAATCTTAAATGTGGTATAAAAAACTCACTTTTAATAAATAGAAGAGAAAAACTTTTTTCTATCTTATCCAAATTCAAGGCTAACACACCCATATTCGGTGTTCTTTATGATACCACATTTTGTGGTAATAATAAAAGTTGCATAATATTGAATAAACAAAAACAGAACTTAAAATCAATTAGCTCATAAATAAACAAAGAAACAGACCCTTCTAATTATGTGCCTTTCCTCGTCTCGCTGCCGTTGTGCCATCTCACCTTACCTCGTGATTTTCCCCAGTGGATTGATAGATCAGTATCCTTTATGCTGCAACTAATGGGTACAGGCATAGTTTATGTGTTATACTCTCAAAGCTTTTCTTTAATACTACGGACAATGTAGTAAATAGTCAACGAATGGACAATTCATGCATCAAAATCGAGCTAACTTTCTTTGCGAGTGTGTATGTGTGTAAAAAATTAGTAACACAAAAGCTAACGTTCCCACTTTCAAGCTTGCAAAGTCAAAAAGATTCAAAATCACCAAGTCTTTCCCTTATAAGTCATTTTCTAACAATTTCTTGATCAGCCACTGATATCGCCTACATCACACCCCTTAGGACGTTAGGATACGACTTTTCCCTGAATACTGCATGAACGCGGATATTTCGTGCAAACGAACTGCCTTTTTTATCAGTTCAAAGCCCAACACTACCTTTTGCTGTTGCTGAAAGAGCATGAAGAAACGGCAATGCACTTTCATTCAAATATTGTGATAAACACCAATAAAAAGATGATTGCATAATTTCTTGAAAGATTCATCATTAATAATTTAAATGTGACTAAGTTATTACTACTTCAGAAATGTAGGTTTTCTAGATTCTTAATGAACTTTGTTTTGTTTTTTCTTAAAATGTAGGAGGCAGTCGAAAGCCTACACTTAATTGTTGTTACCTGTCCTATAGGTTTACATAGCCTATCTTTTTTCTCAGCAGGATGTCTACCTCACCTTTTTATATCATTCATTTACTTCATTTCCAGTCAGATGTTTTTCATTGTATTCATTAATGACTTTCCTCTCTTGTTTTCTCAACTTAAACCTAAGAGCTATAAGAATAATTAAACCTAGTCCTGTTTGCATACCAAAAAAATAACAATCACTAAATACTCAACAGTACTGCACCATAGCAACAAAAATGCAGTAGCAAATACTTTTCCATATACAACCGCTAGAAGTAGTGTTCTCAGGGTTAACTTCTTCGCATTGAAAGTATAATATATTTTGTATTTAAAGCTACTCATAGTCAGTGGTATTAAGAACCTGCAAAATAAGACAAGTAGCATTTTAAAAACAAGCAAAATTTTACTGATAGTGTAAAGGATTAACTGTGAATGAATATAAGATTAACCAATAGAGCAATCAGTTGTTACATGTGCCTTCAAGTTGACGATAAAACTGCAAAATGCACCACTTATATGAGAGTCTGTTTCATAAGGTTTAAGAACAAGCCTAAACTTAAAGCCAATGCACATAGACTTTACACCAACAGTACACAAACAAAACTCATTAGTCTGGCCATACAGTAAAAGAATGTAAACTTGAGGAATAAAATAAAAACTTATGGTCATATAGGTAATACAACAAATCTTGAAATTATCAAAATAGTACCGTGAGATCTAAATAAATACTCAGACATTGCACTGTAAAACAAGTTAGATAAAAAGGTTATAAAGATAGCATCTCGATAACATAAACCCCAATCTGGTGTGCGTGTGTGTGAGAGAGAGAGAGAGAGAGAGTGAGAGAGTGTGTGCGCGCCTTTGTGCAGAAAATTAAAAGAAGAAAGGGTTTTGAGCAAAGTTGAAAGCCAGAAAACAGATCTGAAAATTTTGCAGAAAGAGACCAAAAAAAGCCATCTTGACTACAATCATAACACAATGATGAAAAACAGTGTATATGTCTTATTTACTGACAAAAGAAACCTAAGGTTATGAAACAAAGAGTATGTAAAAAGGATGTAATGATGAAAATGAGAATCAGAACTCAAGACTAAAGTCAAGATCCTTATCATTACACCAATCTGCAGATATATAACGGACATACCAAACTAGGTTAATAAACAAGTACAAATTTGTCCCAAATGTTGAATATAGCACTTATAACTGATAAACAAATAAAATAAACAGAAAACTAAAAAGAAATTCAACATGGGCCTCACCTTATTTGTATACCAAAAAAGATCTTAATCGCGATACTAATATATGGCAGCAATCTTTGAGGGGAATGAAGCCTGGTCCGACGAAGCAAAAAAATATGATCAAAATTCATAGATCTAACAACAAACATTTATAGATCTACATAAGATCTAAAAGAAATTATAGAACATATATAATAATAGATCTGTGTAAAGAATTTGATCAAGATTAAAAATTCCTCGAGCCAGACAACATTCCCCACAATAGAAAAGCTCCCTTTCTTGATTATTAGGAGTTTTTTTAAAAAAAATTATTGGTGTAGTTTTCTCTCTGTCCCTCTCTTATCCTTTTATCCCCCAAGACTTTCGCCTTTCTTCTAGGGGGAGGAGAAGGAAATTAAGAGAGAGAGAGAGAGAGAGAGAGAGAGAGAGAGAGAGAGAGAGAGAGAGAGAGAGAGAGAGAGAGAGAGAGAGAGAGAGAGAGATGATGAAGAGAATGATTTGTTGTTTGGGGGGGATTATAACGAGGGTAAAAAGGAGTTGAAGAGTTGAAGGCCAAACGTGAACAGGACAAAAGCTACGGGTAGACTCTGACCCTATCAGCTGGACTTCAAGAAATGACCACGAACCCCCTCCCCCCACCCACCCCTCTACTTCTCGCCTCCTTTCTCAATAAGAAAATTACTATAGGTATTATTTTTGATTTCTCCCGTGATATTCTGTATTCGTATATTTATTTGGATTTGCACGGCATAATATTCATTAAAAGAGGAATGATTTCATAGTAGGATTTTTTCAAGGGCTCGAATCCGAAATCACTTATTAAGAACGAAACGATCTTATTCATCCTACCAAAACCCTTATAAATCAATAAGAAAACTATCAGTAATTCAGCAAACTATTTAATGTAATATTAGTTGTAAGAGTTATTAATTAAATCGTCTTTTATCACTATTCAGACTCTTGGCCTAGAAAAATTCCTTCGTATCAATTTATATGAGCTAGTTTGACTCGGCATAGATTTTAAGAAAAAAAAGGAAGACTTTCGAAACTTGTAGTCTTAAAATTTTTGTGTGATCATAATATTTGTGTGACTATAAAAGTTTCTCTTAATGATAAAAAGAATAAAATTAAAAGTTTGACATTAAATTATTTTCAAACACAAAAATATGTCATTCTTTTCTTAATAGAAAAATAACAAATGAGTGTTTTTTTTTAAACTAAATTTGTTTGGTAATAACCATTTAAATGGAATGGAGGTAGTAACTTACAGTACTATTGTAAAAACATTTTTAAGCTATCAATGTGTACAATAACAAAGAATTTTAATTTTTATTTATTTATTAATCTCACTTATTACTGATGATTACCTAAATTTATCTTCTAAGTGGTCTATAGTAATTGTTTTAATATAATCACGGGATAAAAGCTAAACTAGCATGAAAAAACCTAATAAAATTCAAACTTGTTGACAACCATTGGATGGGATTCAAACGTAAAGCTAATGACCTCGTACACATAATCAGTGCTCATGACCAGAGTAAATGAACAAAATCAATGCAGTCAGTAAAAGACATTCTAAGATTAATTGCAGTAAAATGAACAAGAAAGCACGCAATTAGATTTTATATTATGACAGATATGATTGTGTCACCCAGTGGTAAAAAAAAACATACAATAAATAACACACTGACAATCACTAAAAACGGTGTTTTACTATGGTCGTGATAATAGCTTATGAATCAAAGAATGCAGGTGCAGCTACAAGTAGCCAACCATTTTTTGATTTTGTTTTACTTCGTCAGCTAAGACTAAGTAGGCGTTTGGACATAAGAATTGTAAAATTCGAAAAAATGATGAAATTTTTTTTTAAGTGAAAATGGTATTTGAAATTCATAGTTGTGTTTAGATATAAATTTTAGTATGAGTTGTTTTTGAAGTTTTGTGAGTGATTTGAGTGAAAATTTTAAAAAACAGCTTTTTGGAATTTTTTAAATTTTCGAAAATTTCCAAAATGCATGAACAAATGCTGATTTCGAAAAAAAGTAAAATTTTTTTGGAAAAAACTTCCATCAAATTTTATGTCCAAACGGGCTCTAAAACACTCCATTTTAGAGGATGATGATAGTGTAACAAAGTATATTGTAGGATGGTGATAAGTGCGTCATAATTTACCTTTATTCAATGATTTAAAATTACATAAAATATATATGTCTCATGTATTACAAGTTCAAAAATCTTCTCTTTTTTTTTAAACTTCATGCTCTATCAAATAGGTTCATATAAATTGAAATGGAGGAAATAATAGTTTTAGTACTATTCTCGTATTTTCTTTTTCTTAGATATCTACCTGATTATGTTGTTTCTACTTCGATTTTATTATTGTTTTGTTGTTGTTACTGTTTTATTTTCTTTTTTATTATTGTGATTATGCTTGCCTTAGCCGAACGTCTACGATAAATAGTTTTTTTACCTGCACAAGATATAATAAAGTTTGTCTACATATTATCCTTTAAATACCCCACTTATGATATTAGATTTCTTTTTTTTTACTAAAGTGACATATGTATAATGAGAAAATTAGGTGTCCTAAATCCTAATAGTACTATACACATGTGAATATATTATGAAAGGATAGATACAGGGGGAAGACTTGGTACATCTAGAATTTAATGAGGCCATACAAGTAAGTCAGAGGAGTAGTTGAGTTATGAGTTGCTCGATAGTTGAGAAAACATAAATAAAACCAAGCAATTTACATACTCCAAGACAAAATGTATAGTGGATTAGTATGAGGGGCTATGACCCAATGGGTCCATAAGCTTTTGAATTTGAAAAAGAAAGGGCAAAAAGAGGATCCTCGTTTGCCGCGTACCTTTTTCTTGGGACAGAAATCGAGAGGACGACCGACAGATTGGGTCAGAGCTCCATCTCTTTCTCTGTCTCTTTCTCTCCTTACTTTTTCTTGTCACCCTTCTCTCATTGTATGTATGCATTTATATGCATTTGTACGTATATTTTATTCATGATGGTATTTGAACAGCTAATTTTATTATAAGATAATAAAATTACCGTATAACAGTATTAAAATATAGTCATATTTAGGAACGAAGTTGGTCACTATTCATCGAAAAATTATATTGTATATATCGATAAAATATATAACACAAATTAGACACCCTTTATCGGAATTTTTTTTTCATTTCTTTCAATTTTGAATATCTTTGAAAAACTTCGTAATTTCGTCACTGATCATATTAAGTCATACGAAAGTATATTTATTATTTTATGCGAAATGTTAAGTACGTATCTAACAATGCAAGGATTAAGCTATTTAAAAATAAAGATAATTTTTTAAAGTGACTAATCCGTGTAGGCGTGTAATATTCTATTTATTATTAATCGTCCAATAAAATGATATATTATTATGAATCATCGTATAACACTTACAATCAATTGATTTTGTTACTCTTTATAAACTTCATAATAATTGAAACTTATTTTTAGTTTTATGACTCTACCTTTTTTCGTACATATAAAAAAAAAAATTTATACGTAAGAGATCTGTCTTTTACACATAAACGATCTAAAAATATCATTTTCTTAATTTTAAAATTATAAAGGGCAATAATGTACCAATAGCACTAACAATTCCGGCATTATAATTTTTGCGAACCAACCAATCCCTTAGAAGGTGTTTTTGCTATTTTGCATTGTGTCTCTGCCTTTCTATGTTATTATTGTTAATTTGTTATCAAGTCTCAACCTAAACATGCCACTGTTGAGGGGGAAAAAAAAAGAGAATATTCCACTGTATTGCTAGTCATTCCGTTTGCGTTCGTCATGATTTGATCTTCCCAATTCCTCGCCCACTTTTAAGCGTTTGATGTCTAACCAGGGTTCGGGTGGTTGAACAGATTAAATGAAATAATCCCACTACAAAATTTAGTAAAATTTGTCCTTTGTTTGATTGTTAATTTCATTTTCAATAAACATAATGCCAGTATAACGTGTATGTCATCAATACATTATCAGTTCCGTTCCGAACAAGAATAGGAGATCAGAGATTACATAGCATCTAACCTTTCGAATTCCTAAGTCCAATTAACCTCCTGATATTTCATACAATTATTACTCTTTTTATCCTAATTTATGTTACATACTTTCGTTTTTAGTTACCCTAAAAAGGATATAACTTTCTGTATTTAGAAATAATTATAAACTCTAAAATTCTCATTTTATCTTTAATGATATGTGTTTAGCCGTAAAACGATGCAGTTGAATTTATATATGGTTTCTAGACAAGTGAATTAATTCAATCCTGAAATAATACAAGAATTGAAAAAATATGCAAAATTTAGCCTTGAGATGAATATAAAATAGCAGAAACAGTAGTTCCGGGAACAAGGCTTCCGGGCACAACAATAATGAAATTAAAAAGTAAGAAGGTAAAATTGTATAAAGCTTTGAAAAGATTATAACGTAAGTTTGCCAGAAAATTTGTATCATTTACAATGATAATAAAGCTCACTATTTTTAGATGCACCTATGGAACAAGGTCCTAGGATCATGCGCTTCTTTAATGTCAATTATGACGACCATTGAAGAATGAGTAACGGTGAGCATGAATGACAAATTCTTTGTAACAGGCAGTGTACTAAATGCTGTATAATATTCTCCATTAAATGTTATCGGGTGGCAGGCATTTATTGCATCTTCATGAACATCATTCTTTTCAATAATAAATGGAATAGTTATCTTCGGTTTTAGCTATCCTCTGCTTTTGGTTCCACGTGTCACCCTCTTATGCAATTACTTAACATAGCATATTTTACCCTATACAGATAGTCCCCCTACTTTCCGATGACATAACTTTGTGTTACCGAAAAGTTGGTAGAAATATTCTTTTTGGCGAAAATTTCTCTAACCCCCTCTGAAAAGTTTCTGACGGTTGATTAGACGCACATCTCTCCACATTTAATGCCCCGAACACACGTCATCCCAATATTCAGGATAACCTGCCGGTTATCGAGGTAATTATGGCTACGAATTTAGCCGCCTAAACCGTTACTTATACGCATCAATCTCTTTTATTCACTCCCCATAATTCTCTAAACTCTCTTCATTCAATTTGTACTTTGTTCTTCAACCTTTCTCCTCATATGAGAAAATCTTTTCTTTCTTCTATAACATATAATGGCTTCTTCAAAAAAAAATATCAGTTCCTCAAAGAATAAAAACAAAGCCAATAAAGTCGCTCCTCCTATAGTGAGCACCATCATCCATAGAAGTCTTGTTACAACAAAAGACTTCGAAGAGAAATTTCCTTCTGTTAACCCTCGTACATGGGCTGTTAGCAGATATCCTTCTTTCATCTGTCCTTCCAGCATTCATACTGTGAAGAAAGATTGTCGTTGCCAGGATTTAGACATTATTGCTCCTGATCTGGCGGAGCGGGTAACTTTAC